GGGGGGGGGGGGGAGGCGTCAGGGTAAAGAGGTGGTCTGAGCGAGGAGGGGGCGAGGAGATTCTCATCTGCTACATGTACTTCTGCTGCTTGGCCCCGGTGTCTACCGTCAAGTAGCTATACTGTAACCGACTGGCGTGCGACAACAGCAGTGTTGGGTGCTAAGGTGGAACGGAACGGTGAGGTAGGTGGAACGGAACGGTGAGGAAGGTCAGGGTAAGTAAGGTACTTTAGTAGGGGGTCATGGGGGACGCGATCTGTGGTTGGATTACGAATGGCCGCCGACCACGCGTGGGAGCAGCACGGCCATAGCAATTGTCAGGCCGCTTGGACGGACACCAACACTGACTGCGCTTTGCTTCGCGTAACGGTCAGTCAGTCACACCCAGGTAACTGCACTACGAGGCAAGTGTCAAGCTAGCCTTTCTCGTCCACAGATCAAACAAAACAAGGACGTACTTACATGCATACTAAAGCGAGCGTGTGCAGCTAGTTCATCTCTTTGCAGGCATCAAATCGAGCCATCAACGCGGAAGAAGTGGTCAAAAGGCAGCCATGTCTACCTTTAGAATATCAGCCCGGATGTCATCATGCGTAGACCTCCGCTTTGTCCCGCCCGCACGTGATGTGTTTGGCAAAGGAAGATTGAACCACGATGCCATGATATCAGCAAGCCACGGCGTCTGTTGAAGTTGACACGCAACGCAAATGTCGACAGCAGTTTTGAGATTGTCAAGACAGGATATTCACGAACGCAAAGCTGAGGCGGATATTGGCAAGAAACTGATTAATTGAGCAGATGTTGATGACGACATGTTGTCTCTACCAACAACATTCTAGACATGACAACCCCGTCGCTCGCGGGGATCTTGACTTAAGTCTGTACTGCTGTGAGGATAGAAAGAAACCTGTTGGACTAATTCTTTTGCTAAATGTACGTACGAAAGATCTACTCCACGTCCTATACATGGAGAAACAAGGTGAACGCAACATGCCTGCTGCAGTGGTTGTGCAGGAGGCGACCTTGAGTGCCGAGAAGCCACCGCCAAATCTCTAGCTTTCGCCCCACCGCTCTTGCTACTAACACCATTGCCGTCGTTAGTCCTCGCAGCACCCAAACTCAGGACACCTGGCTTGGTGCTCGCGGCGCGGAAAACAAAGCCATCGGCCCCGCCTAAGTTCGTAAGAAATCCTGAGCAGCACGAGCAGCAGCAAGCACGAGCAGCAGCAACGGCAGCAGCAGCAACAACACAACGCATGAGCGACTATCAACATGCGGAGACACACCAGCTCGCAGTATTGACGCCCTCAGTCGCGAAATTCTTGCATAATATTGGCAGTCAAACACAAATGCTCCGGTTGAGGGCTCGAGCCGCCAGATGATAGCGCGGGCGTATGTAGTAGTAGACTACCATGTCACCCACTGCTGCTCGCTGATTGCAGGTTACCGTAGGCACGGGCAGCGGCACGGAGCGTGCTATTTGAAAGATGGGTTCGCTGCGCGGTTGTCTGGAAATGGCCGTATCGCCTTGTTTCGCCCCTACTGCAGTGTTGCTTGACACAAAACTGAGTCGGCACAAGAGACTTCGCAGGCTCAAATATTCAAAAAGAAAACGAGCCAAAGGAGCTTCCCACTTTCCCACGTTGTGAATATTTGGAAGCGCGAGGGGGGGCGTGCGATGGTGCCCTTTCAGGAAGCAACGTCCTGCTTCTACAGCAGTTTGTCATGCCGTCGGTGCATTCCATCCCAAGTACAACTCCACAGCACGCCCAGATCAGAGCTTTTGAAGGAACAGTATTCATCCACCCACCCAGCACATGAAGCAATTCCAGCACATGAAGAGACCGCATGAAGACAGACAGCAGAGACGGACAAGAAATAGTCGAGACGATGCCTGTTGATGTAGTCCTTCACGTATCAGCACACCGACGAATCGTATCTTGCTTCCTCTCTTCTCGCTGTTGATGGCAAAATTATCCTCCTATCTAACCGATTACAGCCCACTCGAAAGGTTTGACTTCCTCTCCAATGGGCGTAGTGTCCTGGCCCGGTGTCCCGGCTGGACAAGATGCCCGAGCAAATGCGACACGCACGTGCCGGGGAGTGCAGGGAGGGGGGTGTCTGCAAAATAGGTTGCGGTAGGGGGGTCAGCAAGCGGGGTACGCATATTTTTCGAGATCTCGCGGCGCCCCGCTGTCCTTCTACAGCGCTGCCCAACCTTGGCTTGTGTCTCCTCTCTCTCCTCTTATCAGCTGTGCCATGAAGGCCAAGATAACGTACCTGAGCGCTCTAGCGCTTCCCCTCCCGGTGTACACCTTCGTGGCTACCTCGGTGGTCCCACCGCGAGCTTTAACCTATGCCAGACCACGCTGCCGTGGCAGCAGCAGCAGCAGCAGCAGCAGCAGCAGCAGCAGTCGGAGATTCCGGCCTCTATTGGCGCCTGTGCGCATGACGCACTCGCTTGGCTTGGGCAGCACGGCGGTCGGGGCCGGAGAGACACTCCCAACCGCTACCGCGCAGGATGGCTCACCCTCCACAAGGACGTTTGATCGCTCGAATCTCGGATTTCACCTCAAGATAGGGTCCAAAGTCATCAACATGTAAGTGCATTTGTGGTCGAATCAAAGGAGTGTATTATTGTTTTTTGAGGTCCGTAGACAGGCTGATGCACAGATGCCGCTGCTGTGAGGTAGAAATCTCGTCGAGTAGCGGTGGCTCATGTTCCACGACCGCCGCGAGATTTCCACAAAGACATGGCCTGGACGTTGTTTTTTGCTTGCATCATGCTATCCCTTGGTCTCGGTGTCCAACACACAAGCATTGCAAAACGACCGCGAAAGTTTTCTAAACTTGACCGACCCCTGCCGTCAACAAGGACAGCTAGAAGACGTCAACGTCAGCAGCCACCTTTGACCCAACCGCTCGATCACTGCTGTAGGCTGTCTATCCACTGACTGCGCCGCGATGCGGTCTCGTGAGGAACCTAGGCGTATGCTACATTTTTTCCCGCGTTTCAGGCCTCACGGGTGTCCTTGGTGTAAGCGATACAAGAGCGACCGCACCTCTTGTTGGAGGAGGTCTCTTGAGTGACTCCTGTATCTGATCTTGGGGAACGCTCCTCAGTAAACAAGTTTACGTCACTATAATAAGAGCTAGCGGCTTTTCCAGGGTAGTTTGTGTTTTCTACAGCAGTCGCCGGCGAGAGCAGCTGTCGTCTCTGTTGTGAGCATTGGAGAAACGCCTGAATTTAAGTCTATATGTTCCGGCAGCCCGCAAATGCCATCGTGATCCGTTCAACGCAGCCGTTTGAGAATAGGACTGCCGCAGGTTGCGTAGGATACCACACCCCTGTACGGAGATTTCAAGGTCGATTACAAATACTCCACGACGAGAAGGAAAACAAAACCAAACGACAGTATGCATAAATGTTGTCGGAAGGCTCTCGACGAACAGGCTTCATTGCCGTCATTGTCGGCACCGTCCCTGCTTGTGGTGCAGGGTACAAACGTCCGGGGGTGCGACATCTTGCGTATGCAAGTTACAACGGTAGCGCAGACTTTTGGAAGGAGACGTTGTTGGATGACTACAGTAGTCTACTGGTGCATCACGAGTTAACGAGAAGGGATCGGTGCGCTGCCGTGCGGTACGTTAAGTAAGATCTCAGGTCAGAACGTTGCAGCCTCACATATACAGCGACGGTATGAATAGTAGAGTCGCAAAAGGCTCTTGGGCGTTCGGACGATAACCATGGTCGATTTGGTGACCCTTGGTCCGCGAGGCGCTCTGCGCAACGATTCGGAGCGAAGCGGGCAACGTACAGCGAAACAGTCCGCCTTTCAATCAGGCTTTACTGCACCGCAATCGTCCAACAAAGCCTCTTGGTAAAAAGACGCAGACAGCCGAAGCCCCTGTCGAAGGTAATTAGTTGTGTTGACGCTTTTGGATTGGCTGCGGATGATGCAATCGCTATCGTATTTCGAACAAGAATCGAAGCGATGGAAACGTCGATGTTCAAGGTTTTCGTCGAATCTCGAAGGACGTCTGTATAGCTTGGACTGTTGGACCTTGAGGCAAAAATACGATTCTGTGTTTGGGATGTGAGGATGGATTATATCGTTAGATGGCCGGTGGCCCGGCAGGGAAAGCGCATGTACGGGCGTCCCGAAATTCCCCGTAGTGTTGACATATCGCGGCTGCCTCTGTTTGCCAAAGGACACGCAGCTCAGTACGGGCGCCGCCAATACTCCTCACTTACTCACTCACTCCTATTCATAAACCATAAATACAATGTACCCTATGGCACTCCGCTTATTGTACCAACAGCCCTCCCAGAAGTCGTACATGAGCCGTATACGAACAAACACCGTGGCTGACCACAGCAGTATAGTAGTGCCTCACCCCCCCC